TTAAACAAATAATAAATTATGATTATTTCCTGTTAAAATTTATTATACAATTGCTAAAAGACATAACAAAGAAGATATTTCAGCATTTTATCATTGTTTAATAAACAAAGCATTTCTCATATTATTATTATTAGTACTACTACTACTACTACTACTATTTATAAATTACTTATGACTAGACTAGGCTTCATAAACAAAGATTTGGCCATTGTCTCCAATCATTATCTTATTGCAAACATTACAAATGTGAATGTATTGTTTTAGCCTGTCAAGAAGATTTTTGAAATGAAGCATAACTTGTATGGAATTGTCCCCATCATATACTCTTAAAGTTTAACAGTTAAGGCTTAGCTAGCTATGGATGGTGACAGTGTAATGGACAAGATGCATAGGTCGAGTTCCATCTGTTCGGGTTTAGAGTTAGAGTTGTCTTGTCTTTTTCCTTAAGATGATTGTCATGGGATTAGTGAGCAACATCCTGACCATAGACATTGCTAACAGATTAAATTTACATTTCCATTTCAAAAGAAAAAAAGCATAACAAGAAACATATGTACACACATATACACACACATACATACATACACACACACACACACACACACATACACTCACATAACACTATACGAATAAATAATAATGACACACACGTATACACATGCACACACATGCATGCATATATACACACATATATTCACATACATATTCACACACATACGCACACACATACACATACACACACACACACACACGTATACACATACACAGCGTATACACATGTGCATACATACACATGCATACATGCACACATACATACATACACGTATGCACATACATGCACACACATACACATGCATAACACATATACATACATACATGACCCATACGTACACCTATATATGCACATACACACATATACACACACATACACACACGTACGCACACATACGTGTGTGTGTACATACATGACATGCACACATATATATATATATATATATATATATATTCAATGGACCTCCATCTTTTATTTGTTCTTTCAATTTTTAAATTAATTAAAACTATTATTACTAATTATCATTGCAATAGGAATAGTTAAAGTATAAAATTGAAACTAAATACATAAAAGGGAATAAAAGTTTTGCATTTATTCAAATATTTAATTCATCTTTTGTATCTATGAATATATCATATGCAAATTATGGACAAAAATAAACAAATTTTTAATTTTTGAAATATTGTCATTTACCAATAATTGTCACTTATCAATTATCAATTATTGATAATATCAATCAATCATCAACATTATCATTTATCAATTACCCGATATTATCAATGTAAAGTATATACCATCCTCTCTGTCAATTATTGATTAATCTTCATTGTCAATTTTCCTCTTTCTCATCTTAAAATATGTTCTTTTTCTTCTTTTCCTT